AAGAGGCTATGTTACAGCAAGACTTCATCGCTATCTTGCTTATTCAATCTAATTAATAAACAGTGAATCATGGTTAATGATTCAAATGAAAAATATTTCACTTTGTCGAGATGTTTACTTCTATGAATCTTCCATGGAAATCTCTATTCCACTCGGCGTGAATTTTATTCTATCAGAAGCTATTAATTGCAATTACGCTGTGAAATATTTGGCCATAAATTTCTTTCTAAATTCCTCGAGTGGTTTCACCATTTTGCGGACATGTTTCCTGATAAATCCCGCGAATACGCTGATGAACTTGGCTGAACACTGCGATGCATCGCTCGCCATTCTCACATTTCCTCTTTCATACACATTATCTCTCCACTTTAGTCAGTCTTGGACGGACACTGGCAGCATATATATGTACATTTGTATGCCTATATAATAGATGTGGTGCTCTCGCATGCGGTAATCCCATCGCATATTCAAGCAACTTTTTACACCAGTCCCCAAGTGCGTGTATCAATTGCACAGAAATTAGCACTGAGGCCGCGAACTCCTGCCATGTGATTACTTTCATTTCATAGAAAGTCATCCATGCGCAATTTGAGTCTCTTTTTGCGCTTTTAAGTGGTCTCTATTGAGCATCTTGGAGAAAATAAAGTAAAATATTTGCACTTCTTTATCTCCTCCAGTGCTGTAAGGTTTGTAACTTCTACGGCAAATATTTATATCAAATTATCTGCTGCACGTCTTTTCCTCAAGTGCATTCACATGAGCCAATATCATCAATATCTAAGTGCCCAAACCAGTAGAATCTTAAGACGTTCTAAATTATTTCACAAAGAGAACCATTGATGAGGCAATTTTCGGACCATTTGTGTTGGCTTCTGTTGCTGAACACAATAGCCGATCGCTCGAGTCCAATGACTGCTAAATCTGCAGACAGGGCTTTTGTATGGCGCGAACCACGGGAGGTGAAGCAAATTGAAAGAGAGATCTTCTGATTCGCTTGATGGTCTACAATTTTGCTCTCCAATACAGCGAAGAAGTGAAAAGTCCTGCGAATGTCACATTCGCGAAATTTGCAGTCAAACACACTCTTATCGCGAAATCGCGAGCTCACAAGCAATCATTCATCTGAAACGCGTATTCACTGAAAATGTCGGAATATCCCTAAAACAGATTTTACGAGCAGGGCGCTGAATTCAGTGTGGTTTCAAAGGTTTCTAAAGTATATATCTACTTAAAAATTATTACTTAGAATCCCTAATAGATCCATGTTTAGCTAGAAATGTGAATTAATCAACACTAATTCATGTCTTTTTTCAGTTTCACTGTCACTAGTTCTAGTGGATCACTGTAGATCGACGAGAGACATGATTTACCTTCGGTCAGAGTCTCACCAGTGAACCTAGGCTAGACTGGAGTGCAATCCAGCCCAAAGGGAGAAAGAGAGAGAGAGAGAGATAGAGCGCGCGAAATGCCGAACAATGGTGCGTGGGACAACATGTTGGGAAATTGGAGCGATGAATGCTGAATGGAGAAGTGATCACCCTATGCATCTTCCGAGCACTCCTTCGGAGCCGGCACTCAGGCCTCAGACACCCGGAATGGGGTGGAGGAGAGTGAGAAAATCTGCGTGCAGAGGAAAGAGATTATTCAACTCTGTCCCGCGACGGGAAATTGGTGCATGGCAGAGACTTGGCTGCCAATGCACAAATATTTTGTGTTGAAGGGAGGAACGAAAGAAATCCCAGAGCACAAATGTTCCTTTTTCGCATACAATTCCATACCCCGTGCACAAGTCCACATCCAACATCGCCATATACAGGCGAGCGCTGCATATAGCGTTGCCTATATTCATACGCCCTGTACCTATGTGCGCTTTTCTCATATAGCCGCTATATCGCAGTGTGCAGAATTATGTATCTGGCTGTCTGGCTGTAACACAGACAGTTCTTATCGATTCGTACTTATGTGTATATGGCAGCACATAACCCCAGTCTATATGTACACTTTCTGTGCATAAACGTGCCGGAGCAAGAAGGAGAGATCGAGGAGAGACAGAGAGATGGATTTTTTGGGGAGCGCGAGCGGGCCAAAGAATCATGGAGGCAGACACTTTTTGGGGCATCGCAACTTGCAATCTCACGCAGATGCGTACGAGATGCAAACTGAGCTCCGCCATGCAGACGTCCTTCCCGCCGGTCGCAGGCGCCCACACGGCCGGAGCTCAGGTACTGCAGATGCACTCCTTGCAGTGACCCTCTTGCCTGCGCTCACGTCGCGCTGACTTGCCCGAGATGAATCTCGAGCAGACAGAGACGGCACGAGCTGGCAAGGAGGTTTCCCCACAATGAAAATCGATTCGTGTCGTGGAAAGTTGTCTCTGTTCGGCGGTGCTTTTTCACACTTTCATGCGAATGGTCAGTTATTCGCGGTCGGGAGGGAGAGAAAGGTCAAAGACCCAGATGAGCTATCAGACGCAGACACAATAATATGAATCAGTATTGCAAAAATAGCAAATTATATCCACTTACCCAATTGGATCTCAACCACACACGCATTTGGCGAATTTTTATCGTTCGCCAAACTCGATCCGCACTTTTTACACACCATCGCCGCGCGGCCAACGCACAGAGGAGCATCTCTGCCGATGTCTGAGGCGCTCCTCCTCTTGCGCGCTCCCTTGGGCAGGTGTCTTTCACCCGCCTTCGTGGCTCGAGACGCCAAATTTTCCCGGATACAACGTCCTCACTGTGCAGCTTCCAGAGTGCCTCACACCGCAGAGAACTTTACGAATTCATGACTCCTACACACATTCTCAAGAGAGTATCCATTTCAGCGGTGCAATAGAGCTTGCACAGGAAATTATTTGAGCACCATCGTCAATATTAAATGCAATTTGCCATGATGCACAATGAGCTACCAACACAGATGGCAGATGAATAAAAATTAGATGAATTAATTATCTCAACTGTATTGGGGGGTTATGTGAAAATGCATTATATTTGCTCTCTGTGTCGCTTTATCTCCTTCAAATATACTTTTTCGTTGCTCCTCTGTTCGCCAGAATCGCTCTGTGTTTGGATTCGGATCGTCCCTGACACAATTAACTTGCAAGGACGAGTGCACAAGTTTTTGTCTCAAATTGCACTTAGCGCCTCACTGTGATGCACGATGAGTCTCCTCTGGATCAGAGCATCTCGCGCCTCGTCTCTCTTCCTGATGCGCTCCCGCGGCCACGCAGGGCTGAATGTCAATGCAGTGGCGGTGCATTCTTGCGAATTTTATTAATAAATCGCAAATATAATTATATATCTGCATCTCGGAAACACACACGAGAGCGCGTAAGCACTTGAGATTGCTGACACACACCGCGACATCAGCGTATCGCGAAGTGCATGTTGGAGTGTGTGTCGAGAACTACGTTTCATTTTAATGTTGCCGTTTTTAATATTGACGTCGATTATATTTTCTGCATGGGCGCAAGGAATGTACAAGTGTACCGCACGAAATTTATTAATAAAATCTTCCCTAGATTTCTTTGCTGAAATGCCATGTTGGCGCACAGCGAAGACTCTCTGCTGTGCAATGTGAGTGCACTTTGTGCCCCAACACTAGCATCCAACTAAAATGGCCTTTCTCCCTGCGTCCTCCATTCCTGGGCGAAAATTTCCACCGACCCCCGATTTTTCCTCGTCAGCAGATGAGGCGCAGAGCCCAGAAAAGGCGATGCAATATCACCACTGTCGCTGCCTGATGACGATGGATAATCCAGTATTTTATGCACATAATTGGTGTTGAGTGGGTATTGCAGAAAGTTATACATATATATATATATATGTATATATATATAGTTATATATCCCAATGCATTTTGTCGTTGACTCCGCATTCACCAACACAGAAATCCTCACGAAAATTTTTCAACAAATTATATATTCAATTTCACTCTATCACTGGGAAACTCGCAACATTTTCAGCCCAATGTTCCACTGTCTGCTCGGAAAAATTCTCCTCGCCACATTCGAGACCCGGTGCAGTTGTCACAAAGGAAAAGCTCCCATTTCCTCTCCCGACCGGAAATCCATCCATTCGCAACCCTCACTGCACCCCTTTTCCGTCCGCGACAGCCCGCGCGCGGCCCCGCAGGAAAAGCGACGGCGGACGGGCGCTTTTCTCCCAAGTGAAGAAAATTTCTGCACTGGCAGAGCTGCCCCTCAGTGTAAAGCCACTTCACCGCGGAACAGAAACCATCACAACGCAACGGCTGAGAGAGAACTAAAACTTGAAAATGCAATATTCGCGCAATATGCACCGAGAAAGTGGGCTTTAAAAGAGAACGAGAAGAGTCGCGACTCGAACCTTGCGCAGTTGCTCACTTACTCAATACTTCGCCAAACTTGCATCCTCAACTTTCTCCCAATGAAAAGCGCTCCTCTCCGGCTGGGGCTGAAGGGAGTTCTCAAGGTGATGCTGGAAAATTCTGCGGTTTCACGGATACAATGACAAACGCGGTGGGAAAGAAAAGCTCACGAATGCACAGCATCGTATGGAGATAACACGTTGATTTGGATGCATCTGTGATGTTATTTTATTTATATCCCGGGTATTCTTGTTCCAATATTTATTACTGAATATTCTAATTATTGGTTATTAAATAATTAAAACGCAAACTCATAAATTACAGGAATAATTTGTTAAATTTGATTTGGTCCTGATGAACATGGTTCTGTTCTTGGTTCTACTGCTCCTTAGGAAGCTGAATGTTGGTTTTCGCGTACTTTAATGAGATTGAAAATTGTCTAAAAAAAATATAAAAAGCAATTGGAGAAAAATCTTCATGGCTGACAGAATCTCTTCACCCTCAAATTTCCCATTTTCCTAGATTTATGAATGCACAAATGGATGTATAATTTTGATTCCCAGATTCATCTTCTCCGCGCAGTCATCAACGGTCGTTTTGAAGCGGCCGACATCGAAAAGTGTGTCGAAAAGATTTGACAGCAGCAAGCGAAGAAAGGAATGTAAAGTGTGTGAGCAATACGTATTTTCCGCAAATCTCCCGTGTTAATTCCCGTGCCTTTGCAATCTCTGTGATCATTCGCGTGACAGTGGGTGGAAAGGGGAATGATAGAGGCGCCCTGTGCGGAAAAATGGACGTGGACGCTCCGGTGTGCGCGGGATCTGTGATAATTCTGGCGCAGTCCAAGAATCGCATCTCAAAGAAGGTTGAAGTGCCTGCCAATTGCACCAATTAGCATCTCTGCCGTACTAATTGCCTGGCCCGGGCCTCTTTTCTTTGCAGAAATCCTCCAATCAGAAGTACTGTCTGCTGTTCAAAGCCAGCCGCAATGGCATCGAGCGGCTGGAGATCGCGGATTCTGAGACTGACAAAAATCCCCGGATCGTCACAATGGAGAATTGCGTGAAGATCACATCGGAGGGACCGCCAGCCAATCTCATTCACGTCGTCACGAAGACGGAGAGCGTGACGCTGGGAACGCACACCGAGGACGAGCTAAAGAAGTGGTTGTCCGCCCTGCAGACTGTGGCCTTCAAGGAGAAAACCACCTGCGCCCTGGCTCGTGGCTCAGTCATCGAGGAGGACAACGATCTGTACTGCTCCTCTTACAGCGACGGCGTTTTCACGGTCAAGCTCATCCCCTCTGACACCTCTATTCGCTGTAACCTGCCCATGAAGCCCTACCGCCTAGCCTTGACCGCTGTGGAGCTCCAGCTGCGCTCGTTCGAGGACGAGGCGTTCATTGTGGCCAAGTGGCCGTATCGCTTCATCCGGAAGTACGGCTATCGCGACGGCAACTTCACATTCGAGGCGGGAAGGAAGTGCGAGACCGGCGAGGGCATCTTTCGGCTGGATCACGCCAATCCACAGGTGAGAAATGCCATTGAAACCACTCCAGAGCCTCCCTCTAATGTCGCATTTTTACTCGCAGGAGATTTTCCGGTGCATGTCCAGCAAAATGAAGAGCATGAAGAAGCTGATCAACGGAGAGAGTGTCTCGAGCTTGGATTGCGGCGAGAGTCAGCTCAGCGCTGCGCTCTCTATGGAGGCGGGTTCCAGGAGTCCTCTGCCGCCATCGCCCAACCAGGCGCTAGTCCAGGACTCAGACAGTTCATCCCTGCAGCAGAGCTTCGCGTCCATTCGTGGCTTCATCTCTTCCAACGATTCCCTGAATAACGTCTCCACGAGCAGTTCCATCCCGCTTCTCAAGCACATTCCGCACAAACCGCCAAGGAAAGGATTGACCATTGCTCTGCCCGGAGCGCCAGAGGAGCTGAGCAAGGACAAATTTCGAAATCTACCCAATTACGAGCCAATCTCTGTGCCAATTCGGGAAGCCGCCGCCCTGGAGGCCACCGAGGCAGTCACGCAGCCTGTCTCAGCGCCGGAACGCGATTATGAGAGCATCGAGACGATCACAGACGCGTGGCGGACGCTGGGCATAGATGAGGTTAAGCACACCGAGCAGATTCACACACCGGAAGAGGATCTGATTGAGTTTGTGCGGACGAGCGCTAAGGTGACGAGGCCCAGCCTGGTTCTCGCTTCTCCCGAGCCAAATAATCCAGACTCCGAGAGCGCCGATCACGATGATTATGATCGTTTGGAGTTCTTCCGGAGCAACACCAAGATTTCCGCTACCTACAAGACAGTGATTCCAATCATTCCGCCCACGCCGCCGCCTTCCAAGCCGCGCACCGACGATTACGAGATCGTGGGGAATCCGGACACTCAAGCGTGCCGCCTCGCGGACGACAGCTACATGGGGTACGGCGTCCTGCGCAAACCAGCGGACCAGGCGCGACTCGAGACGCCAGAGCTGGGCCACCAGAAGTACAACGGCCTGGACTATGCGATCGTGAGCAAGCCCAAGAGGGTGTGACTTCCTCCGCCACCAAAGACATGTCGCCATACATTCCCCGCGGACTCACAAGTGCCTTCCCTGCGCGCCAGGGTCTTCACGCGTTGCCATAACACGAGAGGAACGACAACGAGCAATCTCGATTGGAGGACGACTTCGGATTAAGTATCGCCGGATTGTACTTAATCTAGATGTATCTCTTTTGTATATAATCTCACATATTTTAATAAAATCTTTTAAATATTCATCCTGCGAAAGATCGCTAAGATTCCCTGCCCACAAACTCCTCTTGGCTGATTCGAACGACCTCTTCGCCTTTTTCCCGAAGAATTTCCTCGATATTCCTCCCCTTGACGTCTGTGAACCAGTTCAGATTATCGGCTATCAAATGATTATTGCTGCATCCTTCGCACTTCACAATCACCACTCCTTTCGTGTAAGCCACTTTGGAAATCTTCTTAGAATTCCTCGTGCTGCACACTTTGCACGTGAACTGCAACTGAAGATGCGTGGGAATTTTCGTTACCACTTTTGAAGCTGGGATTTCATCAGAAAATCCCCGTCTTTGGTGTATTGTCGCGACTGGAGAATAGAGTCTCTGGACAGCAGGAACTCTTGATGATGTCCATCGCGACAAACTTATAGGTATTTGTCGATAAAGACTTGGAAATTTACGTAAAAACATTTCAGACACACACTTTTGTTTGAGTGCCAGTAAAGTGTTTCTTTATTGTCAAAAATACACCGCCATTGAAGGTCTTTTTCGCCATTTCGCCCGGAACGTGGCGAAATTTATTTGAATCTGCTGAATACCGGCTGATGTCTGTGATAAGGAAAAGATTAGTAAAATAGTATTAAAATCACAAGAGAAATAATGACGAGGGAATCGTGATTCTTTGGAAAAATGTATACATTTGCTTCAGGTCTGAAAAATTCAAGCGAATTATACTTTAAACTTTCTTTTTCATTTCGCGTGAGACTTTTAAACATTCGCTGCCCTTGTTCGCTGCCTAAATAATTGATTTTCAATTTCATTGTGGCAATGATTTAATAATAATGAGGTTTAAATGCAAGTCAGAAACTCACATCGTTTAGACGATCAAAAGGCGAGAAAAAAGAAGACCAAGAAAATTTTCTTATTCCAACGAATAAGTAGTTCATATGAGAATCCTGTGATATGACATAAAACGTGCCTAGTTTGCTGTGTTGCAAGGAAATGTGAAGAACAAATTGGGCATATTAATGCTGCCCCACTTTAAATTTTTCTGAAAATCTGCCGAGACCTTTTCCTGCATTTGGTGTTAACATTGAACTTTTCACCGTGATCTTGCCATAAAAATGACGGTAATTTGTCTGCAGCGTATCAAGCAAATTGGGAAACGAGAGAGTGGAGTTGGGGAAAAATGATAAAGAAAAATTTGTGTGCTCCTGAAGGGGACAATATTTATTTTCATTGTGACGAAGGAGGACAGAGGAAAAGCCTACACAAAATTGTGTCAAGAGTTTCTCTCTGGTTGCCACAATTTATCTTTATGGTTTCCCATCTGGGCAGCAAAAAATTAACAATTCCCATTCGTGTTCTTTGTCCTGCCAAATCCTTCGTGTTTTGGGCAATTTTCCCCGCTTTGCGCACTGTCTGGGAATAATTGTTTCCACTCAAACGGGTGACCTTTTCTTGACCATTGTAAATTGTCGAGGGTGGAATATGTAGGTGTGATGGAATGATTGGGAAGCAATTAATCTGAGTGTTGAGAAAAGGAATCGAAGCACGCGAATGTGCGGAAAGGAGCGGCAAAAGCACTGCTTGGATGCTCGATTGAGACTGATTCTCTCTCTGCCAAGTGCTCTCATCGCATGCTTTCACCGTGAAGTGCGGAGAGAAAGAGAGAGTTTGCGGCAAGCACGCCGAAGCTTTCGAGGAGTCAGGAATAGGCAAAGCACAGAAACTTTTATCTCCAGTTCTTGCCGGACCACAGCAAGCGTCGGACAAGCGTGAGCCAAAGTTCTGAGACTCTATAGTTACTAATCTTCCACTTAGCAGTAAATCATTTGAGCCTGATGGATGACTTATTAGGACTCTCCCCAGAGAACTCTCTCCGCTCGAAGTGCTCAAGTGATACACAAAAGTGTCATGTGACAAAGTGAATCAATTGGTGGTGAATTAATTACCATCGGCATACGCAGAAAGCGCCTATTTGATTAATAAAGCAACAGAGTTCAACGACAGCAAAAATCTGACATTGATGGAAATATCCTATGATAGACTTATGAGCTTATCAGCTCAACTTTTGTGATGATTCGGGCGTCAGGCCGCAACTCACCCCTTAATTCCGTGGGCTGAAAGTGAAAAGGTAGCGCCTTTCTCGTCAATATTCAAGAAGTGCCGTATAATTAAATAAGCAGTGAACGAGTAAAAAAGTACTAAATGTCCTTCAAAAATGATCATTGAAGAATTTATGAGGTTCCGACGGTTTTCACTCGAAAACTTCTTTCTCTTTCTCTAATTTCCTTTCACACGAAGAAGTGCCTGGGATTCGTGCTTGCACTGCTTGCGTGAAAAACATAATAATACCGGAAACGACCTCAAAGGTCAAGTTTGTCGCAACCGGCCAGTGGCGAGATTGTGCTTAAACTTCAACCAAAGAATGCGAAATTAGAAATTGAGTTCATTAAATTCTCCGAATTCTTTTCCAAAATGAAAGTATGCGGTGCTTTCTGGCGTAAGATGTGGAATTTTGAAAAAGAAACTTTAAAAAAGTAAAGTAAATCTTTAATTGTTAGAACTCTTCTGGACATACATTAGAATTTCCGAAAATTGGGATTCTTGCTTAAATCAATGGCCAGTAAAATTGAATATGTCGCAATTTACCTAAACTAACTTCTGTCAAAGTACAAGCTGGCTTGGATTAAGACTGTTAATTGATATTTGACTATTAATTAACAAATTGTAAAAAGTTCTGCAATTGGAGAGCAACTCTATTCAAATTCAGCAGAGACAGTCAACTTTTTGTCCACAAATGAGTGGGTGTTTTTCTATCTCGGTACCTTAATGTATGTTTTAAATGTTCTGTGTAATTTGCAAACCCGTGAAAGGAGTTCAATGTGGGATGAAGTGATTACTCAAAAAGCTCTGTGCGGTTTTTCATGGGTTGCAAGGCTTGAGTGGGTGGCAAAATATACATACTGAGCATGGACTATTGCACAGAATTGGTGGGCGAGACTTTATATTTCCCAGGGTAGTTCTCAAGAGTCCTCACGGTGATGGCTTTATTAATTGCTGTTGAGGAAAAACAAGTGAATTAAGTCACGGTCGTATTGCAGAGAGCACAAATATTTTTAATGCAAATGTTATATACACACTCTGCTTCTCTTAATTTACACTCGTCGAGATATTCCAGTGTCAACAGTTTAAGGTAGCAAAAAGAAGACTGTGAATTTATAATACTTGACGTGTCATATACAGTATGAATTTCTGTGGACGAATCCTAAACGACAAAATGCTAATTTTTCCTCACTCATTTGCACCACCAGGAGTGGTTCGACCTTCATTACCAGCGCGGTAAATTGGACGATTTTCCCAACACTTGAATTTAAAATGTGTCAGAGAGGAAGCAAAGTATCTGCAGAAGTGTAAAATTTATAGCCCTGAAAGATAGCATCCCGAATAATCGTGAGTGGTCTCTAAATGAGACAACAAAGGAAAGGGTTAAAATGATAGTATCATTTCACGCTTCTTTATCATTTGATGCAAACTTTTATGAAACACTTCCAACCGCACTTCGCATGAGAATGCCCAGAATTTATTTACTGTAGCCCAAGTGTTGGTGGTGAGCAAAATACAAATGATAAGCTCTCAAGGTTTGCAAGATTCCATGATTCTCGCATTAGTCACCTCACAATGGACATGCTTTTGTGATGAAGGAATACAGATTTGAAGTGAGTGAATGCAGAAAACTATTTCAATGGGATCAACCAAACGGAAATGTGTTAATTTCTCATTCAGATTCAGTGAGTTAATTCCTATGACATAAATTTCTGTCAGTAGAATAAGGGAATAAAAAGATAATCATCGTTTTGTTAGATCACAATATCAGGGATTTCTTACTTTATCAGTATCACAGCTGAAAGCACACCAAGTTTGGGTGGTGAAGACGGAAAACCTCCAACCGACTCCACACTCTTTTCATCTCAATAAACTTTTAGTGTTGCGCCCCCGCCCACAAACTGGGATGTGCGCTAAAACACAAAAGAAATATTTCCACACACATCCTCAAATTCACATTCATGAAACAGAGGGAGAGAGAGATTTTCAATAAATCTACCCCCTGTTTTGCGCCGATGAGGAATGTCAGTTTTCAATGAAATTGAAATTCAGAAAAACGCTTTGTTGCTCATGTTTGACTTTTTAAAACTCCACAAAGAACATTCATGCAGATTTTTCAATTTTTTACTCATTATTCCTCATGAAAATTTGGTCTCATTACGCGAGTAATTTATTGGTAAATTGAAGAGGGAAATAATGTGCATAATCTTCCTTATTACCTTTTCATTTCAATGATGTGGTGATAATTGAGTTGTTATGTTGTGCCGTAAAACTGTGAAATGGTAAAATTTGGAATTAAGCTTATGTAGATTATAAAATCGTTGTGAATTTTCATTAAATGAACATATAGCAAATTATCATTTTTCAATTCTCATTAGAGTTCTGACCCTTGGTTCATGAAGAGATAATATTTAATTAGATTTGTTGAATGGATTCACGCAGTTTGTGTTATACTTTCATTAATCTACATAATAATTCATTGATAAGGTCTGATGGTTAGAATAATGTTTTACCAAATATTCACTACGCTAAATATACACTAGAATTCAAGCTAAAAGCTGCAATGATTGATATTGAAAAATTAATAGATTATGCGTGTTTGTCTTTGATGCTTTACTAAATTTCCACATAGAAAATTAATGCATTCAATATGAAATTCTCTTTAATTAATACTCGTATTGATTTTGACCCAAAATTCAAAATGAAATTATAAAGTATATGAAGGATTTTTTAAATACATATGTAGTTCGTGCAATATATCATCCACAAAGCATCTACTAATTCAATTTCGGCTCCAACAAAGAAAGAAGTGGTTTCGATTCCCCTTAATTTGTCTTGAAAACTTTTAGAAGGAAAAGTTTGGTTGTTCAATTGAATTAACTCAATTTCGATTCTTTATTGTACACCAATCGTCTTGTTTCAAAGAATAGGGCAAACATGTTCATGCTCAAGAAAACATTATTTGGAGTGATAATCTCCACATTGAAGAATTAACAAGAAGTTTCTTGTCAATTATCGCAAGAATATACATAAATTGTACGACCTTCTTTTCAGTTACATACTGAACAAAAAAGGAAATTTTACCACAAAGTTGAGACTTTTGCGATAGTTTCAAGGTGATAGATAAGTGTCTGGAAAAATCCGCTCGAGATTCTGTCTCAAAATGTGACTTTTAGGAGAAAAATCCATTGACGTAATGCGAAAAGTTTTGATTCACCCTCCTGATAAGTATTAATACTTCCTGGGAAAGCAAAGTTTTTGCGTTAAAATTTGTGTTTAGAATGAAAATGTTTGAGTGAAATCCCTTCATAATGACGGTGTTTACACGGATATTTGAGTAGACAGAGTGTTTCAGGAAAGTGAAACTTCCTTGCTTTTAGCACTATTGATTTTTCTACATACGTTATGCTATGGTTCACGGAGCACCCCAAATTTTTACCACTTTTCAATGGATTTCTAAATTTTTGATATGCTATATTAGCAGCCAATTGACAGTATCCTTCACTTTACTCTCTGTCCCTTGTCGCTATCAAAGGACGCTGTGCCATTTTGTAATGATATAACGAAGGTTTCTCAGAACTACTCCTGAATACTGAATGAGAAAATCAATAGGCAAAGAAATTCATAAGCATATTATTATCACTTTATTATCCTGAATGTTATCATGAGTGTGAGAAGTTGGTACGAGGCGTTAAGTGCTTCTGTGCTATCTCTTAAAATACAATCTTCCAGCAGACGTGCTTATATGAAATACTTCCACGGCGAAATGAACATTAAACATATTCTTTACTCATTACATTATGTGTCTTTTGAGCTTTCCATTCTTCCCATCTTTGCCCGCTTTATCACGTTTTACCAGAAAGTTATTTCTTCAAATAAACTGTAGCAGACGAACTCTGTGAATCCTTGTTTGGACTGTACTAAATCTTTCTCATTCCGTAGTGAAAATGTTTTCACATCATCGTGTATTTCACATATCAAAAATGTTTGAACAAGCCAACTAAAAATCCTACCTACGCTTCGTATTCTTAACATGCCGAAAGTGCCATTTGGGAGAGTAATCGCGAAGTTATTATTATTTATGAGGAGTGGGGAAATTTTCCGCTCCAGGCAACTTTCTCTTCCAGTCACCGTTCCTTACGAAACGCCGTAACCTTTTAAAATCCCTCCCCAGAAGATAAATGGAACACGCCACGGGACTTTGGGTTTTCTTGCCGGTCTCAATTCTCCTGTTTTTTCCCCATTTGGCCTCGATGGTGGAATGCTGTGTTGAAAAAGTAAAGTATATTACATATTGAAGGATGCAAGAGAATACAGAATAATCAGACTTGGTCAATTGCTCACAATGGCAATATTTGAACTGTGAAATTTACCTTTATTTTACATTTTGAATAAGAAAATTCGCATGTGTTTCCTCGCACTAAAGCTCCATTCACTCAGGTGGATAATAAATTAAATTTAAGACAGAAGAACCTTAGAAACTTTTGTAATCTACCTACAACATGTAACAATGATGGATAGCGTTCGATCCATTCGGAATTACAATTTGACAGTAACTTCTTTTTAACTCCTGATGTAAAGTTAAAGTTCTTGAGGCACGTGTACCCTCACTTCTTCACCTTTTAACTTTGATGACAGAGTTAATACACGTGGACTTCAGTCTGGAAAAAACTCTCTTAAAGGATTAGCAAAGTTTATATAAATTTGACTTGACCATTATTTATTACCCTCAAAATATTTCTAAGCTCGAAAAGAATGTTTTCTGTTCTACAAAAAGTTGTAACAATATTGTACACTTGTGTGCATTTAGTAATATTATTTTTCATGATTCTGAAAACTGCACCATCTGTGAAATATTCTAGAAATTGTAGTGGAAATGCAAATATCATCCTTTAACTTAATTTGAAAGCAATTTTCCACGATTATGCTTTTCTCCTGTTCTGATAACTAAATATGCATGAATTCCTGCTTTTGCATATGTTTTATTGAATTCATCTTCTCGTTTGGAAGAAGTGAGTTTTAGAAGACGGCTTAGAGTAATCTGAAATCTGTATGAATAAGCTTTGTTTACACGAAAATGAAATTTATGGATGATTCGAGATTAACAATATTTTAAAGACTGACCGCAGAAATCTGGATTATACTGGATGAGTGAAGTATAAAATCTAATTAGTATTAAATTCACTGAATGAATCCCTTGTTCTCTGTTTTATTTCTTTAACTTTTCTTCTGCCGTAAATAAATTGTTGGAAACTTTTTTTTAGAGAGAGTGTTGATGTGTTTGTGGGTGAAGAAAAAAGGTCTCTGGCTCTTCGGGAGAACCGAAAAAGTTTCTCTGTAAAATAACAGAAATGTATTCTTCGTGTTTACACTTGATCTCATTCTCGTATCCTTTTTGGGAAATCTCTCAAAACTCGTTAATAGTGAAAGCTTATATGGCTGAAGTGAAAAAGAGACGGAAGTAGATATATTCTAGGTTGATTAAGTTACTGTGTGGTTGAGAAATGAAATACGCCATTAATAAGGAAAGTGATGTAATTATGGGCGTTTTCTCTGGTGTTAATTTGCAGATTTTGTGGGAGGAATACGTTCAGGCGGCGTCGTGAGAGAAGAGACAATTTTCGCTAAATGCGCATCGATGACGCAGTGCAAGTGCAACGAATCCAAATCATCCCCTAACGCGAAGCTCACCGGGAAATGTGAGTGAATGAGTGTGGCAATGCAATCAAATTTCTCTGCAAATGACACCACTTCGGTGGAGAATAGCACCGTGACTGTGATATTTTACACGCCAATTGCCAATGAAAGTGCGACGACGAATGACACATCGGCGGTGGCTTTGCCGACGCCGTCTTGGCTTGCGGCAGGTCGCGTTCAGATTCCTCTGTATGCCGTGATCTTCCTGCTCGCCGTGATAGGCAACTCGCTAGTCATCCTCACTCTGGTGCAGAACAAGCGCATGAGAACCATCACGAATGTGTTCCTGCTCAACCTGGCAGTTTCCGACCTCTTGCTCGGCGTTCTCTGCATGCCATTCACGCTGGTAGGCACACTTCTGCGGGATTTCGTCTTCGGCGAGCTCATGTGCAAATTCCTGCCATTCCTCCAAGGTGAGTTATGCTCCGGTGATATGGAAAATAATTTTCGCCAGCTCAGTATATCAATCACTGGGTCTGTCGCAATTAACAGTGCTCTCGGCACTGTGATTTATCCTCCACACGGATAATATACACTTATATTTTGGCGCTCATTTTCCACACGGAAAATTCTACGATTTTAATCACGTATTTCTCTGTGGAATTTTGCAATAAATTTCTTCCAAATTCCTTGTAAATATCAAGACCATAAATTGAAAATTAAACATCGGACATATCTGAACAAAATCTCTCTGATTTATTGAACAAGTAAAACTTTCCGCATTCTTGTAACCCTTTCGACTTTTACTTATAGTGGTGAACTTGTGAAAAATTCTTACACCCGTAAATTGTGCTTCTGTATCAAGAATGCGGGCATGTGTGTATATAAATTATCACACAATCACATATTTCACTCCTTTCATGCCCTGCTAACTGACTCCAATTTCAGAACATTTTCACGTCGGCCCGCTTTCAGGCCCGAAGAAAATGTCTGTGGGAAGTAAATATGTAACTGGCCGTTACGTAGCTTCTTTCACGCATTTAATTCAGTTACGTGATTTTTTAAAGCATTTTCTCCACAATTTATAAGGATAGATATTTAAGACATTCTCCTTGTTTCTATTCCAATTGAATTTTAATTAATATTCGGTTACATTGAATGAGATTAGCTGAGCGTAAGTTGGAATTGAAATTTGAGAATATTCTCCAAGGGGTGGAAAACTCACGGACCGATCGATCGATTAAAAATTTTCGGTAGAGATCTTAGTAGCGCAGGCGGGCTCAAATTGACAAAAAACACTTGAAAAAAACAAGTGAAAGGAAGGGAACAGTTTGTTGCACTCGTATTCCAAGCCCAGCCTATGCCTACTATGATCTCTACCAGCAATTTGTATGAATTTTTGCGGAAGTTTACTTTTCACTGCAATTTTTGTCAAATGAGTGATTGTATTCAACTCCCAATGAATCCAGATGGTTAAGTGCACTATTGCTCGACATTAGAGATTTATAAATATTAGATTAGCTTAGATTAGATTCCTATATTCTCCTCGGTGAGTGTGATCACTTATCCATCGCACAACCGACTAGGCCAAGTGTGACGCTTAAGGGATGGAATCACACTCGATTCATTACTAAGTTGGACACGTCTAATCAGGAGGATACCTTCAACTATCGCGATAAGCTGAGAAATCAGCTCATGTTCTATCATGAATCGATTTTGTCTACTGGACTGAAGGATTTACTCCTGGGAGTTCACGTCACTTTCAGCAACTTTCAGTGTAGCTGAAAGACATAACGCTTGGGCTATAAATTTTGCATTATCACTCTGTCTACATAGGCTCGATTGGTGCTCTTTCACAGTTTATCGCTGTTTTATTTTATGCCACCAATTAATGGAAATTGGAGGGCAATTGAAGACAAATACCTCACCTAAGTCGTTGGAGATAATTGGGAAAATGATTGCAAAAAGGGAAGCGCCATCAGGGTTTTCCACGTTTTCCTTGTTTGCCGTTGAGCATTGAGAAAGGAAGGGTAAAAAGCTAAAAAATAATGAAAATTGTGTAGAAAAAGGTTGAGGAAAAATTGCCTCTGGTGATATGTTGAAAAATTTCCCGACAAGAATCTTTTGACAAAGCCAATTCAAATAAAATGTCCTTCTTCTTAATATTGCATGAATCAACGTACGATGCAGAATTTTTGTGAAAATGGTTAAGAGAATTTAAAGACTAATTCCGCCAGTTTTGTGAAATCTTCTCTAAAATCATCCGTGTATTTCACATTAGAATTCCTCAAAGAAATTATGGAAATTCTCCCCTGGAAGATCTCATTAATAAACAATTACCACCTTTGTTCGCCATTTTCACAATTAAGCACCCAATGTTGCGTTTATTTAACAAGAAAGAGGTCATCCGAATGTTGAGGCCCACAAGCGTAATTAAATGTTATAGACTTAATGAATCTTCTCTGTTAATTCATATTGTGAATATTCTCCTTGAATATTTAATCTATGTTTGTTATCATTTTAACGAAGCTATTACAACAATTTTCTTCATTCTCTTTTTCGTACACAGATAGCTTGAGGCTAATTTCTTCTCTATGGTCAATATTTGAATAGGGAAAGAGATTGTAAAGATGTTTTTAATGGTTTTGCAATATATGGCAGCACGAAAAATTAGAATTATTACAATAAAAGTTTGAATATGAACCGTGGAAGGTAAATTTAGTCATAAATGTGTGTGCTCTGAAATTTTATGCCAAAGTCGGATGAAGATATGAATAAAAAATCTCTGTATATTAGGATGAAAATGTATGATCTTCTTATTAAAACCTTTCCAAAATATGATTTACAAACTTTCTAAATGTAAATATTTGTGAAAATGAGTGTTTCATAATTAATCATCCCTAATTTGCTAAAACTATTTTTTACTTACTTATTTGTTTATTGAAAATTCTCAGGAGAATATGCAAATGATGGTGCTTGCAATGTGCATTTTATGAGTTGAGCAGAATCTCAAATGCATATTTAACAACCTATTTCCATGATGCAGATGCGATGAAAATCATCTGTATTAGTTGGGTAAAAATAGGAACTTCAACAATGTGGTTTCCTCAGGATTGTTTAGCGACATGTACTCTTCATATACCAATTCCATTATCATTTTAAACACATTGCAGATCCCTTATGTACCCCATATATTTACCCTCTCGCATTTTTCTCCCTATTCAGCCCTCGTAAAGGTTCAACCTCACTCATCACTTTTCCTCACACCTCTCTTGCTTCAAATAAAATTTTATTGGGAAACGCAATAAGTGTGACATTTCTCAATGAGGTGAAAAGAGTTTTCACTTATGACGCCAACATTTCACGCACAGTAGACAAAGGATATCTGGAATCGTATATCACAAACATATTGTTGAGAATTTTCTCCACTTTCAAAGATGGTAACGAGAGTTTTCTCCTCAGAAAATATTACCTTCAATTTTTTTTTTAATCACTTTAATCATTCTTGAATTTGATATTTTGCCAAGAAGGAAATTGTGCACTTTATGACATGTACAATAAATTGATATGTTATTTAATTTTGCAGACTGGATTTTAAGATTTTGGGCAACTACAAGAGGTTATTTATTTGTCATATACCCTGTTACTGCTTGATCGCAGAAAATTATACGTTTATTTTCGACGAAATGCTTAAGCGAAGAAAATTGGTAGTTAGCCTTATGGTATTCATTCAGGCATACGCTGTTTTCTTATCATTATATTCGTGTAACTACATAATTAAAATACCCTCTTGGGGATGTCAGAAGCGTTGTTAGGCCAAGAAGTGGCGGAAAATCACGCGACACATAAAAACGAATGAACAGCACAAAACAATAGCCGTATTAAGATATCAAGCCCATCAGGCAGATAATAATGTCAATTATCTCTAATATATATCTAATTAATTACAACACTCATGTCCCTCTCCAGTAGCAATTCATCAATGTATTGTTAGCGGGAGTGTGAAAATTTAGTTTATAAATAGAAAAGTGTTATGTTCATTTGGTAGGAACAAAAATACCCTCGGGCCATCGGAAAATGTAATCAGTCGGCAGGATTTATTCGCAACTTGTCACATTTGTATCATGTGGGAGAATTTATGGAAGGGAAAATCAATGTGTGAGCTTCTCAATAGTGATAAAATTGGATGGTGCTGTCGTGGGAATTGCGGAAATTGGGGCTTCACCGTTGCGAATTCCAATATATTGCGATGGAGGTTGGGAGTGATGGAGGAAATTGCGTGTCTCACGTGGTGGATGTTTGGAGTTGATCTTCAGTCAGTATAAAATTTCCTCGGAAGATATCCAGACTCCCTGCCACATGTATATTTTCATATTTGCCATCTAAACAGCTTTTCTTTTCTCCACCGACATTTTCTGTTTTCCGATGTGCGACTTGTGGACACCGCTTTGTCATCCCCGACGGTAAATAGCCGCAACGGTAGCCGTATCCGGCTGGACTCTGGTCGTAATATCTGTTGAGAGATATTACGCCATTTGTCACCCCCTGCGATCGAGACGCTGGCAGACACTCAGTCATTCGTACAAATTGATTGCTGCTATTTGGTGTGGAAGTCTCGTGTTCATGTCACCTATTGCATTCTTCAGTCGCCTGATACCCATAAGTCAAGGTAAGAGCTTTTCACATCACATCCCGCAAGGTCTATGACGCACCGACATCCCATTTTAACCTTTCCCCTCTCTTTTCTTCCACAATATCGCCAACTTCCTTAGGTGCTATGCCCTCAATACGCCCACTATTTCGCTTGACACACAATAAACACTCGCAGCGACAAGAGAAACCATCAAGATTGACATCTTTTAAATTTATGACAGGTGTGATGAAATGTGTCAAATATAAATATGGGCACTAACAAAGATTATATTGAAGAACAATGCTATATGTTCATATCAAGTGCTCGCTGTCAGTGTCCTTCAATATTTTGAATATATTTTTTGCCACGTTCCATTTCACACATTCTAAGGAACCTATTGAATTAAAGAATGAAATGGTATAAATTTTCTACAGTATTTTCTGCGTGAAACTCTTTCGAGATAATTAATTGCCGATCGATTTTTTTGCGAGCAATATAACTTGAAGTTTCATAAACTTCTTAATTTATCATACACTTTTATTAAAAATGGTCAAAGCGAAGTCAAGTACATTATATACAGAAGTCTCTATATTGAGGACAAATTATGCATAAAATACTCTTGAGCGCAGTCAGCAAAATGTCATCATGACGACATTATAAAGATCATGAAATTTTTTGCCCAGTTTCACAATGAGCTCTCGCCATTCTACAATGAAATAAATCCACACTTAATATGTATCTGTATGACCAAAGGTGTTTTCCTGGGTGTCTTGTCCCAAGGAAACACCCTTTGTCTTGCTATACATAAAATTTTTCACTCTACAGCAATATACTATGGCAGTATTTTGAAGCAAATCCTTAGTTATGTCCTTACTTAAGCAGAATATGCCCTTGTTCTCACGAAGAAAATCCTACGCATATTGTTGCTCGCTTGATCCTGAATCTCGATGAGTATCAACGCAAGAACACAGTTATGCTTCGATACCTTCCCTCGCTGCTATACGTTTTCCCTTGAAACTTGGTGAAAAATGAGCAAAGTGGTGGTTCTATATAGAAATGAATATTTTATTCAAGAGCCATAAATTTCTTTTCGGTCTCTAAGCATACAATGTTTGACGAGGTTATAAAGCATATTTGCGATATGGCTTCTCCCTTCCCTTTTACTACACTTTACATCATCTTTTATCCATGATTTAATTTTATTTTCATTCAATATGTGGCCCCGCATCTTCGGCGAGACAAGGAGCATAAGAATATGCTCCCCAGTGGCCCGAAAGAGTGACATATATACACTTTCTCACCACACGATTGATCCTTGACTAAAACACACACTGTATAGACATTTAATTTGAAAATATCAATAACATCACAGATCTGTGATATTCTTCTTTCTACTCAGGTCATCACAAATGCCGGGAGCACTGGCCAGACGATGCGAAAGAGTACGAACGAATGTATAATTTATTCCTAGATGTATTTCTCTTCGTGCTTCCATTACTTGTGCTCGGCATCACATACTCCCTGATAACTCGGACATTGTGGCAGGGAATGCGAACTGAGAGGAATCTCAAGAATAATCAAAATTCTGAGAATCAATCCAGTGAGTATAGAAATCGCATTTGTGTCTCTTTACATAGGTATGCTTACATATGTACATGCAAGCCTTTAAATAGGATTGAGTTTGAAATATTGCCATATAAGTATGACAAATTGACAGTATGACCTTTGCATTTCAATTGCAATACCTAAAAACTTAGATTCTTGTCTTCTCTTAGAATTCGTTTTAATTAATACCTGTTCTTAATTTCTTTTATGTAATATTTGTATAGCTTCTGTAGCTTTTGGGTGGAAAACGCGAAAATGTAAATAAAGAATCACATATGGTTGTAGAAAACGCCACGTTGTAGATAAATATGGTAGAAAATATACATGTGCTTGATTTATGTATGAAACGTATAAAATATAAAATGAAAAAGAGCCTCAATTTTCCAAATGCGATGTAAGATTTTCCTCAATAGCGATTCAATATGTGTTGAGCTCATCATTTAAATTCTTCGAACAATTTATCATGATTTCGATGGCACATCAAAAAGATGCACGAAAGAGTTGAGCAAATATAAGGTTTGCTAGATTTGCTATCAATTTGTGTATTTTGTGAATCTGAAAGCTCTGCAAGTGCCTTCCATGATTAATGGCGATTGAAAACGCAATGAAATCTTGTTGAATTCAGCTAATTGCCTTATTTGCTGGACATTAAAAATTCACAGAACAAGTGTGAAATTCTGCCCACATTGTAATTGAGAACAATTTATACCGTGGTAAATTTGGCATTTCTCCAAATTTGATCGGTTGCAACGTCAATTAACAAAATTTCAATAACGCAATTAGCAGTTACAACTGTCCGAGAATTTTATTTACCATAATGGTTTTATTCAATTACGACTCAGTGTTTGACGTTGCTGTGTTGTTGATTATTATACAATATATTTCGTATTCAACATATTAATCAGCATAAATTTTGAAAACGTATCGAATTATTTTATAATAGAACATTTTCTTTGCAGCATGGATAAAGAAAATGAAGTTTTAGTGAGAGTTTTATCAGTTGACTTTGCGGGCGTTTTCCAAGAAATTGCAAAGAAAACTATAAATTATTGCTCATGATGTATTCTCTTCTCATTTAAGAATTTGAATTTCAAGAGTTTGAATCTTCTAAAACAATATTGAAACTTTGCAGACATCATTTAAATTTCCTCAACTCAGTCAACGTCAAGCAAAAGTACAATTAATTTTCATTATTTCTTCACCCCTTAGTTTAATTATTATTCTCCGGTAGTTTGTGGCTTAAGGCAACCACTGAACATAAAATCAATAATAATCTATTTGTACACTGCAAAATTAAATTGTATGTCATTGCACATAGAAATTTATGTGAGTTGAAAGTTTATTTGATATGTTGTTTTGAGTGTTTCTAAAATTTGTAATGCAACGAAACACGACAGGCTAATATACATTAGAAACATTGCATTACCTACCCTGTTTCCACCCTCAAACCCCTCAATTGAATCAATTTAAGAACTTGACATTCCATTCAGCAAATTGATTTCAATTGATTTTCCTGAATTGTCCTCCCCTCGGAAGTTCCCTGATATCCTCTCCAAGTTGTCCTTCTATAGTGATATTTGGACACAATGCCTTCTCAAGTGGGAGAATGTTAATGGCTTCCCAACAAGAATCTGCGCATCCGGAAAGCTTGCCTTCTTGCTTTTCCAGTACATTTCCAGAAGATTCCATTGCCTTGAGATGCCAAATAGTACGGTGGCAGAATGTTTTTATGTTAATAAATTATGTCACGAGCTTTGCTCTGAGCATTGCTTGAAAGGGCAAAAAATACAGTTCGGTGCTAATAAGAATGAAATTTATATCAGTAATACCATTCACGTTTTGCTCTGCTTTTACAAGTACATCCCACCGACATAGCGTGCAGTGGCAAACAAGGCCTGATAATGGCAGCATGTCTTGGAGTGTGAGAACATGTGAAATAGGACTTTGTACGAAAATACTGCTAATATTGTTATTCATGGTACGACGCGGATTTTTCATACGACTCTGCCAATTCGTCCTGCCTTTCACACTATGCTACTTTGCTTCCAAATTGCTCATTTTACAGAAAAAAAATATTCATTTTCTCTTGGGTTATAGAATGTGAATAATATTCAGATTATTTTGCTCCTTCGTCTCGTGATGCTGGTAGTGTAATGAAATCCGATAAAAAATTTCCATGCTCGTAACCTTAAACGAAAGTGATATTGAAAAGTTATTCAAGTTTAAACATACATTCAAGCTCAGGACATGTAAAACTTGCCCCGAGGGATTATGTACTGAGGAAGCAACAAGTGAAAGAGTGATAAAACAAATATTCTTTGTCTCTCCTCAGCAAATAACTTAGTGGAAGTATACATAGATGCCCAAGGAACTCCAGCCAGTCGGTGTCCCTCAAGCTGTCGCTACCAATCGAGCAGGGATAGCGTCTCCTGGACACAGTTGCGAAACCACTGGAGTCAAGAATCCACCCGTTCTCGGGCCGCCGTGGGCTCTGTGAGAAAATATGCACCGGGTTTAAGGAGGTGAGTTTCATACATGCCACATTTCTCACTCAAGTTCCCCGTTGACATAAAGCTGAAAAGTAAATTGGTGAAGCGGGTGAAGCTATAAGGCGAAGTGAAATATAATTAAGCAAATTCTAGCTTCCTTTGGGAATCATGCATCTCAGGATGCATATTTTGGAATCTCTTGTGGTTATTTTCCTCATTTAAATTTGTGATGAATGGGAAAAGTTATAAAAGTTATTTTGGCTATGCAGCTGACAATTGCAACTGAATATTTTTAAATATTTGGTGCATTTTATAACTAACACAAAGCAACATAGCGAAATCCAAATGTTTTTTTTTAATACACGAAAGAGCTAAAAAATTTACATATTTGCATTGAGGTTTATAATTTAACTTTTGATTACAATTACACATAAATGCACAGTACATACTGTATACATATATATATATACTGGCTTTAAAATAAGGAGAAATAATTTAGGCTATAATCAAGGTTATGAGATAAGAAAAGGAAAGGTGTTTTTTTACGATATTGAGCTCCATTAAATAGAATGGATTATACTTTAAACTCATCAATAGAACGTTAAATTTTTCATATTTAGAAATGTTAATAAAAGAGTTAAAATGAAGCACTTATTTGAAAAATATTGCCGGGACAGCTCAGATGTAATTCAATTGTGTCATATTTATGTATTCACGGCAAAAAATTAATTATTTAATTTTCATTCTACTGATTTTACAATCAAAACCATTCAAGGCAATTATGCTACTAGAGAAAATTAATTTTAACAGTAAATTAAATACACAATCAATTATCCTTCGAGATGAAGCTATTAAAATGGTTTGCCTTCCAATGAACTGCATAGTATTATGTGGTCAGTAGGCGAATTGATTGAGCGACACTTTGTGAGGATGATATTTTATGATTAATGGTGTGCTCGTCCCTGAAGGCCACAAATAGGTTGAGTGAAGACTTAATAAACTTATTTTTATGCAGGTCAAATGCAGAAAAGAGTCTTCTCAACAAGAAACGCGTGATTCAAATGCTTTTTGTGGTAGTGCTGGAGTTTTTTATTTGCTGGACGCCACTTTACGTGATCAACACGATGGTACTCTTTGAGCCAGGTATCGTGTACGCCAATCTCTCATCAACGGGGATTAGTTTCTTCCAACTGCTGGCCTACACGTCTAGCTGTTGCAATCCCATAACCTATTGTTTCATGAATCGTGGCTTCCGCAAGGCCTTCCTCAACCTCTTCCGCTGCTTCAAGCGATTGCGGGAGCCGCGGCGGATCAGCCTGGGCGGCGGAGGAATGGGCTTGGGCGGCGGTCTAGGTGGTGCTGATCAGCGCAGCGAGGCGGAAACAACGAAACTCCACATTAACCATCGACTCTGCACAGACAGCTCCTACTAAGCGCCAATAGAGTCTTTGTGTGTTGTCTCTTTTTCTGTGACTTGCGTACCCTTCCAAGTTATTGTACATTAAGTATGTTACATGATAACATATGACCATTTGTTATTTTGACTACACCATGCGTATCCATTCATTAAATGTCTTTATTCATTCTCAAGTTAACTTAATAAAGCTTTTTGAAGTCACTGAATTTACCTGTGTCTTTCTCTGGTTCGTTCGTTACTCAACTAGCAGCTTGTCTCAGACAAACGAATGAAATGTTTTTATGATAACGTTTATCTGATTTTTGGATAATAGGTATTTTTTTCCAAGGTAAGAATTGTATACTTGAGTTTCATGGCTGTTTCTCACGAAGATACGTTGAGTTTCAATGAAATATTATTATTATGAGGAGGAGAATAACATTATTTTCCTGCTTTTCTCCTTCAATTGATATCCTAATGAAATAATTTCATGCTCGTGTAACAGAATTTGTACATTATTAAATTCTGTGCTCACATCTTTAATATGTAAGACTTAAGCGGTAGTCGAGCTTTGGTCAAAATACATATGTTATTTCAAGTGTTATTTGGTATAGGGCAATGTCCGAAAATTCCTCCAGGCTTTGAAAATCCGCATGTGTGTTTGCTATTATGGAAAATGGGATTCGGTTTATTCCGTAATTTGTTTACTCTTAAAGGGATCAACGTTGACGAAAAGTACATATCTGCATTCAATGAAAAGTAATAATGATTTCGAGTGACATATATGTATATATTAAGATTGTGATTGCTCACTTTCAAATAAATTGAGAAAACAGCAATTTTGCTACTTTTCATATTGTGAATTTCCACTTTAAATTTTTCCCAGTACCTTCAGCATATCTGAAGAAGATTGATGGTATTTAAGCATTTGCTTTGACTTTTGCAGATATTTTAGAAATCATAAAATTTATTTTACACTATTTCTTCAAACCCAAACCTTATAAAATCCCATTTTTGGACCAAAACAAATGATGTTAGTGAATGAAAACAGAAATGTCACAGACACGACGTTTTTTCTATCAGCAATAATATACAGAGAATGTTTCCAAGTCCAGTAGTGGTGAAATAACCTCTGAACGTGATAGGAAATTTAAAAATACATACAGAGGAGACATTTCTCAAGCAACTCAGTAACATAAATGGTTAATGAAAAATGCTTGAATTGTAAAGGAAACTTCTTGTGTTATATTTTCCTATCCTCTTCAATATAATCTTCATGTATTTTGAGGTTGAAAGAGCCAAAAGCCTTGCGGTAGGTATAATTTAAAATTCTATGGTGAAGTTTGGGATCAAACTGGAAGGAAAATACGGAGAAGTGGCGAAGAAATAATATTAAGATTTGCCTTTTTCCCTCCACACTTCCAGATTATCTCGAGCGAAGAAACACCTTTATTGTACATAATATATGAGAAGGATTTCAGTGTAAAAAAACGTAATATTCATAATGTAATTGAAACAGGTTAAATGTAATTTTAATCTATTCTTTTGCATGCAATGCGTTCTAGTTAAAATATTAAAGCAAAATTTTAATACTCTGATTGGATTTGCTTAATTTTTTTTAGTATCTATTGCACAGTTTTATGACTGTTATTAAAAAAAAATACAATAAGTTAGATATTCTTATCATAAAAGTTTTTCGTTATTTTTCAAGCCACTGCTTATTCTCTTATTCCATTCTTTCTCTATCATACAACGAATTTCATCTTATAAAGTGCCATTGAAGCATATGCAAATGCATTGTAGACATTACAATAAATTAAAAATTCATAACGAATATTCTCATACCTACATATATACATTGCGGAATATTAAATTCCAGAACCATGCAGATTGCAAAAAATTTTCTCTCAATGATAAACTTAGGTTTGATAGTAAACATTAATATAAACTTAAAAACTATAATAAAAGTGGTCATGCTATATAATAACGTCATGAAACTTGTTTTGAGAAAACACACACTGAAAGGGAAAGTTAAACTCGTAGTTAGCAATAAATGGGGGTAAAAGACGCGTCAGGATAGAATCAATGTGCTATATAGCACTTAGGTGAAAGTTAGCTGGATATGTAAGTTTTCTTTACCGCGAATTTTCTCAGAGATCTTATACTTATATGCATATACGTTCTTCATGAATCAAGATTGACAGTGTTACGTTGAAGTCAACATGCCTGTAGGGGAAACTTTGAGCGTAGCTTAGAACGTAATTGTGCAGAAAATAAAATATATATTCTTTAATGCAGGGTTCAGAAAGTTTAGGTACAGAAATGTGAGTTTAGTTTCATTGTTTCCCGTAATTTCTGTCTCTTTTTCATCTCATTGGTTTTTAGTATTATCTTGTCCTTTTCACCAAATGAAAATCACTATTTATTTTCAAGTGTGAAGTAGAAACATGGAAATATCATAGTATAGAACGAATATCCTGTGACTGAAAAAAGCCATTAAGTTCTCAACGACTTTATCTTCTAATTATTTTTAAGCACTATTCGCAAAAACGACACTTTCATTCGTCGGAACTCTGCTGTGAAATTATGCACATTTATAGTTATAGATGCATTCATATACGCAAAAATTTACTTGAGTACCATTTTTGCTCATGCTATAAATTCTCGAGGCAATTTTAGACGCATATACGAGTGCTTTACATATTCTTAAGTTCTGCTCATAATGGAGCCCGTATGATGAAAATACACCCTCGCATATTACAAATAAATTATGTACGTCATGCACTTTCATAAGCAAGTAGATTTTATACGTGAGAGCATATGTTTTATACAACAAAACGCTTCATTATGAAACGATTTTATACAAAAATGTTCTTAATTATGTGTATTACCAGCATTCTTTAATCTCAATTTCCTAATTTTTGAGCAGGATTCTCCACTTAATATCTGTCAGTTTACTTAATTATTGAATTTGATAGTCCCTGTATTCTATTAATAATTCTGTAAGTAATGTAATACAATTTTATTTAATCAAAAACCTTCAACTTCGCTGATTGCCATTCACTATAATGTGTTGAAAGTTCTTCACGAAACAGTCTTCAAGGAAATAAAAGTTGAAGTGTGAGATATTTTATGATGACATCGCTCTATAATACGTCAGTGGAAAATAATTCAAGGAAGTGTTTCTCGGTATTTCAATTATAGTTGGAAAATACGAGAAAAGAGTATTTTATTGTTCATGTTCGCTGAATTTCAATTTTGTTATCAATTGAAGCTGCTCAAAAATTTTCATTTTAGTAGAAGAATCCGTATTGTGAGAAACTGTTGAGAAGTTAATTGTAATTGTGGTCCCAGAAATGTATTTTTTGAACATTTAATTACATATAACACTTCGCAAACATGCATAATACGTTTCGACATTAAATCCACCATGCTAATAAAATTGTAAAACTTGAGGATAGCATTCAGAGAGATTGTTTTCAAGAGTAAGCGTAGAAAGTTTAGATTATTGCTTGGAAGAATGCTAGAGAGCACGGAGAATTATCTCATATTATTTATATGTTTGTTACACGTGCATATGGAATTACGACGAAAACTTTGCAACGAGCAAGGCAACAAGCATGTTTTCTGGCAGATACGCAAATACGAATAATTGGTGTACGACATCATTTAGGAGAATACCATGAAAGTTTTCCCGCAATGTTTGATTAGGAGCACTTCTGAGAATCTTTAGCAACTTATTGTGCATCATTATACACCATGACGGAGTCCGATGAGAGGTTTGAAATGTTAAATATTGACTTACACTGAACTTTTCATGCTACTGAAAACTTTTCTCGCCACACATTCTGGCATCTGAACTCCCAAATGGATAATAATTAATTTTCCATGATTAGGATACTTAACGTTCATGTTTTTTTCCACTTTACCACATAATTTGTGGGAGAGAATTTTGTGGTTTCATCCTTACGTCCCATTCAGCTGTCTCGTAAGGATTTAATAAAAACAGTTTACAATGCAGTCTTTCCGTCCATCTGTACATCAACAAGCCATATAGTTGGTATACAGCATGTATTTTTATCACTCTTTTCGGCTTCGTCAGATCCGCAAATGAATTGGTAGTAACTTTTCCACACAAAGTTAGCATATGGAAGCAACATAAAAGAAGTTTCAACATTTACCCAGATGCTGTATTTACGTCAGTTGGAGTATCATATGGGTAGGAAAAATCTGCAATTTTTCAGGTAAATTGTGTTCACTTACGTCAACAAGGATTCATAAACTTGGTGGTTGCGGAAAAAAGGAAATTTTTACTCTGAACAACTCCATATAAGGCAGAACGTAAATAATTAGAGAGATTGAAGTTACGGAGATACAGAATCAGCTGAAAAATTATCATATTTTTTATTTTATGATTATAAATATACATACATATTACTTAGCACTCACATCAGCACAATACTTGCGCAGCATTTATTATTCGTTGCATTGCATGAACTCACAACAGATTACTCCAAAAGTTAGACGGCTGTATGACTCGTACACCATTTTCTGCCAACACCAGCGAGAATAATTTTTTCCTTAGTTCGCCAAGGTATGATTGTAGAAACGGATCCAAAAGTGTCAAAGTGATAAAAACTTTCACAGTTTGTTACAAAATTTGAATTCATGTGAAAACATATGGCGTTCATGTATTCTGTACTGAAGTTTTTATCAAATGAAAGCTGTGAAATTTAATTCACTATAAAATGTAAACCCGTCATTTAACAATACGTAACAATCGTAACAATTTATTTTATAAGAGCATGAGCTGCATAACAGCGTAAGTCTGTAAAAATTCACTGAAAACATTTACTTTGATTCTATTGTGCAAAAGCTACGTAACTTTGAAGTGATTTTTTGCAAATTCAATGAATCTTTAACAAAAGATTGTGACAAGTTCAGATCACTCAATGTCGATTGCAAGTTTCTCGAAAAAAAAGGTTCGACTGCAGTGGATTTTTCCGCTCGATATAACACAAAATTGCGTTACATGCG